TATTTTTCATGAAATTTATTAAAAACGAATGAAATGGTGAAGGGAGTACAGAAACGTAAATGCTAAATCAGCAGTGATTTTTTCATTCAGAATCATTTTATTCACATGCAGAGGTTGTCAGAGGCCCAGTTGTGACTATCAGCCCTCCACACCCCTATTATAAGTATAACTATATTTCATGTACACCTGAATTACGGTTCAAATAAATACACATATTTTGTTCTTAAAAACTATAGAAGATAGATTGCGTCTACATTTTTGGGCCCATCTTAAATGGGGTCCTGGGAAAGTTATCACAAATGTCCCCCTCCTCACGCGCGGAATTATGTTAAATCCAAATACTGGTTTTGCTATTGGTGTGTCTAGTAGGTCCATTGCACGTGCCTCCAAATGTTTTTATTTACTTTATGGTATACACATCTTTTCTAAATAGTTTTTATTTTTAAACTCCTCAAGTATTTCGGTTCCTGAAACAGTGTCTGGTGTACGTTTTAATATTACTGCAAATGCATTTATTTACGTATCCTGATAAGCATAAAATTGTATGACACTTTCTTTGAAATATTTCCTGACTTTTTCTGAAAGCTTCTATACTTGTGAACAAGATTTTCACTTCGTTGTTGATTGTACGAGTTGTGAAGTCATTTATAGCAACTTTTTTCTGTCTTAAATTAGTGGTGAATAGTTTTATCTGTAATATTAATTTATGGTATTTTAACTTCAGATATTTCAGTAGATCTTTCTCCACTGTCTAGGTGTTATGGATGAAATTGCTCCATCTGGTATTGATGTTGTTGTATTTGACTTCTTCAAAATTTAATCTAGATGAAACCGGAAAGGATGCATGTGTAGGTTTTGTTGCAGGTTTTCTATTCTTAGCCTTTTAGCTGGTTGATCATGATTGGAACTTAAACTTGTAATTTTATTTAGAGTCTTGGAATTCTAGTCCGTAAGAGAAACTTGTATTGTCGGCTGTAGTTGTTAAAGTTGCTGATGCTATTGCTGTAGTAGTTTCTGTTCTTCTTGTAGAGGCTGCTATTACACCCTTTTCTGCATCTTCATGAACTGGAGTTGTAACTACTGTAGCAGTTGTCGGGGGTGAAGTTGTTCCATCTGGTGTAAATGCTCTTGCAAGCTTTTCATTCGTAGCATTTGCGATTCTTCTTCCGCTGCGTCCGTTCTTGCGACCTCTTCTTCCACTGTTTCTCTCTTGTGGTCCACTGAATGCGCCAAGTCACTTAATTTTTAGTTTTTTTATGTTTATTTTTTTATAAAATTAACAGTGACATGACCAAAAATACTAGTAAGTGTACGTATGTTAACAAATAGTTGCCCTACTAGAGGGACATTAACCAAGTTGACTGCAGTCTGTAGGGTGGCATAATAATACATTTAAAGTTATTACACTTAACGTTATCGCACTGAGGAAATGTCAAATTGACTCGATATTTTCAACTTGACGTCTTTAAGTTGACTGTCGAACATTTCTGATTTTTGGAAAACGAAAATGTCTCGGTCTCATAATACTCTGCTGCTCGGTTATCGGTTCCTGACGCGAAGACAACTGTTTTCAGTGGACAATTGATGTGAAAAAAGGCAAGAATGGTAAGGAATAGTGATGCGACATCGATAACAAAACATCGATGTTAATAAATATCGATGTTCAAAATTAAAACATCGACCAAAAACCATCGATGTATATAAATCTCGTTGTTTTAAATTCAGTTTAGTAATCTCTAACATTAAATGCGTTCAACAAAATTTCATTTGACATTTGCTGGGCAATTATTTTTTAAATTTATAAATTTAAAATTAAAATTTAGCAGAAAAAGTTAAAACCGTCTATCCATGTGCAAACCACGAGGATAAACGAAGCAAATACCAAGATATTAGGATTATCTCGGGCGAAGGACAACGTGCTCTTTGCATCGTGAGTTGCGCAAACCGCGTTTGTTGGTTCCGACACATATCAGTTATTATTTCAAATTTTAACCATACAAAAATAGGATTATGGGCATTTTTCATTCACTAATAAAACACCGAAAACGTAAGAACATCGAGGCCAAAACATCGATGTTCATAAAACATCGCCTTCAATACATCTATGTTTAAAACATCGATATTTTTATAGAAATATAAAAGTTTTGAAAACATCGAAATCCATGTCGTATCCCTAGTAAAAAATGCTGATAAGGAATAGTACTAGCAAACATATATTAGGCGGGCGATGTTATTTGTAATAAAAATGAAATATAGGCACTTAACCCTACTATAATTTGCTGTTTCATGCAGAAAAAAGTCATAGTCGAATGGAATGACTAATTCATTTCACGTCGTGAGTTGCAATTCAAAAGGAAAGTAATTTAGGTAACGTATTAAAATGTAGTTTATATCGAGGGCCGATTTATGGTATACGTCACAATCATCTTGTCGTCTTCTTTTAAGATATTTGTTTATACGAAGATCTGATGTGATACTTACATTGCACCTGTTTACATGGAAAATATTTTGAAGTATGTTTGTGATAACGTATGGTAATAGCTTGAGCAAGTACTCAGGAACCGTTTCGAAACCAATACTAACATGTTAATATGCGCTCGATAACATCTTACTCAGTTGTCAGCTCATTGTCCAGTCACTATTTACATATTTAAAGGATTTATTACAATTCAAAAAGATTAAGTCGAGCAGAATATTTGTTGTTTAGTGTAACCTTCTTTCGATTTGATTTCCTTGCGTCATTCCTATTCTTTTAATATATAAATGTGAATGTGTGTTGAAGTGTTGGTGTCTGATGTCTGTTTATCTGATTATCGGATGTGTGATAAATTAATGTCTGATGATAGAATAATTATTGTTTCCTTTATCAAATACAATAGACAGTACTTAAAAAGTGACTGATATTAATTTTTGAATGTTCTAATAGCTTGGGAAAAAATATTCCAAATTCGGAAAAATACTTGATCTTGAACTCATAGCTTCATTGATAATTATAGTGTAAAACAAATTTATTTAGTAATGATTGTAATGATAGCTGCCCATTTAACCTCAATTCCAGAGAATGGTGGATGTTTAATCATTGTTTTTAAGATCCTCTTTTAAAAAAGTTATTCGTAATTTGTTCTTAGTGGAAAACAAACCTTTTTGCTCGAGCGTGAGTTGTAATCAGTCGACGTGTACAGTTTTAAAATTAGTGTTGCTGCAATAGCACATATTTGCACGTAGCAGCGTAGGTGCGAATACTAATTCTTTTTTTCGAGTTTACATATTCTGAATTTTTTTGGTGTTAAATAGGCGTTATCCCATAGCACAGAAATATCAGTATTGATTACATTTAATCCTCTCCCCCACAACGCTTTTTGCTTTGCCAAGTATTAGGCGAGTTTAAACAATGATAAAAGAAACATGAAGACATTAGATATCCTTCTATATAGCTTAAACAATGAAGTGCGTATTACAAAAGAATAGCTATACAAAGAATAACAACTTTCAACAATAAAATCTTCAAATCTCGTATTTTCATGCAACGTTATATTTAATTTAATTTGAAGCGTTTAATTCATTGGCGAACATACAGATACAGGAAATCACAAATGAGTGTTTTTAATTTTCCAAAATGCTGAAACAGCATATCCTCAAAACAATATGTTCATAACTAATAAATATTTAATTTTTAACAGACGAGTCATACATTTGCATGTTTGCATTTTAATGTCACAAATGTCAGTGGAGACTTCCTCAGTTGAAAACGGCTTCCGGGTGCGCAGGAAAACCCGAGGCTGAGGGCGTTGCGAAATGGGCGTGGAGGACGTTTGGCGGTCGCTGGCAGCCTCAGAAATCTTTCTCGGACGCCGACCCTTCCCTGCGCGGCAGCGGCGACCCCGCGGAGTGCATTCCACACACTTCATACGCCCCCAACAGAAAGTACCGCAACTGCTGCCCCTTGACCCAGAAACATACGAGACACCTCTGACGCCTCTCTCTCTCTCTTTCTTTCTATATCTCTCTCACTTTCTCTCTTCTTTCTCTATTTATTTCCCTCCCTCTCTCTTTCTTTCTCTATTTCTTTCGCTCACTATTTTTTCACCCTCTTTGTTATCTCTCTTTCTTTTCTCTTTTATTCTCTTTCTTTTTCCTCTTTATTTCTCTGCGATAAAAAATATTTTTTCTCGAATTCTGCCTTCCTCCACAAAGATCTTAGGCCTTCGACTTGGTTCTGCGAGTATAAGAATTAAGTGAGGACATAGGAAATGACATATTCATATATCCACATAAAAATTGTGTTAAAACATCGCAAATCACTCTGTTGAGTGCGCATGAAGCGAAGTGGTCTCTGGCGGGCAGGGATGATTCGGCTGTCCAGAGACTTCTCGGGAGACCGATTATTTTCTGCCTGCATTGTTCTATCGGCTTGCTGGATTTGAATATTCATTCAAAATCCCTTGTACACCTCTTAATGATTTATACACTGCGTTGTGATCAACTAAAATATTACTTCATTTTCATTTTCGTCTTCATTTCAGAAGTCTACGTATTCTTCTAAATAATTATACGATTAATTTCAATCTATATGATAATGAACTGTTGTGTCTTTATTTGATGCATAGGGCAAATATTAGAACTTAAAACTATTATTTAGACACGGAAACATTTGGTGTACTTTGAGAAATTAGAGTTGAAATTAAGAACATAGTTCGAAAAGATCCTTGAACTTTGTATTCATGCGGGATCATGCGGTTACAAACATCCTCATTTACAATGGATTTAAAATAAACAGTGCATTTTGATGCTGCAAATGACTCAAAATATGACCAAATGTTTTTCGTGTACCAATTATCATATAATCAATACAAGAACTGACCAGTTTCATCTGTCCTTAAACTGCTTGTTTGAGTAAAACTTGTTTACTTCTTGCAAGATATGAACTTGTTTTTGTGGATATATTTCATTCACACCTACATTCACGGGATTATGTTTCAAACGTTTTCGTTCTTTTTCAGTGTTGGTGTACCAATTTTTCTACCTATCTGCATATTTCTGGCTGAACGCAATGTGTGTTGATATGTACTTGGCCTTCAGGTAAGTAATTACATTTCTCTCTATGTTGAGAACTTACATTTTAAGTATATTAGACCCGTATTATTATTATTATTATTATTATTATCTGAATAATTGTACATAAAATGATTTAAATATTTTTAACCCGAGTAGATTTTTTTCTGAACGTAGTCCAATGTGAATTTTTCATTTAATATACACCATGTATTATATGTAACCTTCAATTTTTCGTAATGAGTATTTTGGAATTAACTGAGAATTTACGGAGCGTCGAACTTTTACAAATTTTTAATTATGGGAACTTGACATACTTAAAGAAAACATCGAAAACGAAAAAAGCGTCGATCACAAAACATCGATGTTAAAGAGAGCTGTCGCCTCCCTAGTTGTAGTAGCGGCTCGCTGCTACTGGGCTGGGCGGGTGTTGCGCAGGCAGCTGACGGGCGCGCGGCGCCGCGAGGGCTCGCGCTTCCTGGCGTACTCGCTGTACGCGTGGGGCTGCCCCGCCGCCGTGGCCGGCGCCACCGCCGCCGTGCAGTTCGCCCTCGACCCGCAGGACGACGCCCTGCTCGCGCCCTTCAACCCCAACGGGTGCTACTTCCGCAGTGAGTCTCCCCTCCGCCGCCCAACGCCTTGCCCTTTCCTTTAGTGCTTTGATAATTAGTATTTAGAATTATGTAACTATCAAAAAATTGTATTTTATCATCTCTATGTTTATTATTTAACAAAAATTTATGATGATTCCCCCCCCCCCCAATGATACGCTGGATCCGCCCCTGCTGGTGGGCGTTATGAAAATAATCACTCGTTTTTAAGGAAATGTCAACGTCTGTTAGCTCTTTGTCACACCATACATATGTCAACTCTGATGAATCTGTAATTTATTTAAAAAACAACCTAACAACGTGTGTCTAATTAGTTGGCCAGATAATTTTTGCGACTTCATATACCTGGCCAGTGTTTTTAATGTTGACATTTTAAAAATAAAATACTTGCTTCTTTACTAATATTTTCAACAAATATAGACCCTAGATTTTTTTGAAAACGACCCCAACTAGTTCTAGACATGAAAGAAAGAAATTGTTGAAAAATATTTCATAATATGTTTTAATAAGGATCTCAAAACTACGGGAATTACAATTAAAAATATTCTCACGTCATTGTAGTTCACAAAAACACCGGGATTTGTCCGATTTTCATTTATGATTTACATAATCGTGCAATAACATTGAATTTAATTTTAATCATTTGCCTAATATTTTGATCCATATCGTCGTTTGCTGATGGAAATTCATAGATCGAGAAGAAATGTTTGAAATGTTCATTGTTTCAGGTAATGAGGGACTGTTTCTTTACCTCTACGGACCAGTACTCCTCCTCCTCCTAGTCAATCTACTGCTGTTTGTGCTTACGGCTACCCGTATTCATCAGTTACATCGAGACACGGCGGCCATCTTGGATCCAGATGAGCGGGGCACAGCCTTATGCAGCCAGGGAAGGTAGTTCTCTTGAACCTGTTACAGGATATCAATGATAAAAGTAATAATAAAAAATATGGTGGTGGAGATGGACCAACTTCATTTTATATTTACTGCATAGAACTTCGAATTTTCATTGATATTTATAAATGATACTTATTATACATTTAATTAATTAAACGATATGCGTGATATGTTATCATACACTTAATACACATGGAAGAGTATTTAGTAGTAAAAGCTTCCGGAAAAGCAAACATTGAAGTGCAACTGTGTCTTATATATGCAAGAATATTCTTTCGTTTCTGCATCGCGTTTTTTACTTCCTGGCATTTTGATTACGCAGAATAGACATTGTAATGACGCGGGAGAAACCCTCGATTTTAGACAAAAACTCTATTGCCAGATACTGCTAACACAAAATGGATAAATATTGATCCTGCTTGTAGTAAATTACTTCCTCTATTACGTTGTGTAGTCAGAACCCATGTTTTGTGGGTCCTTCGACCCGAAAAATTGATCGATGGCAGTCTGACTGTCTATTTGTCCGTCTGAATGTCGTCAAACTCTACCGTTCAGACGATTTTCGCCAAATTGATTTTCCTCAATCGATCTGAATGAACTCGAGGCCCTGTGAGTTTGAAACGGATATTTCAATTTTGGGGATACTTCAAAAAATGTCTCAAAAATCGTTCTAAATTTTTTGACTTGACTTTGTCCTCGGATAACGAAAATTCCTCCTCAAATATCACCTCATTTTCGTTAAATATTTTCGTCAATGACTGGCTGTCGCAGGGCCATGCTGTACGTGCGCCTGCTGTGGAGCATGGGCGTGGTGGAGATGGCGGTGGAGCTGATGTCGTGGGACCAGGGCCGCGGGCCCATGTCGCTGTGCATCCGCAGCGTGGTCGACCTGTGCCGCGCGCTCTCCGTCTTCGCCGTGGCCTGCTGCCGCGCAGAGGTGCTGCGCGCCTTGCGCAGCCTGCGCGCCGGGCGCAGCGGCAGCCGCGCGGCCACC